AATGTTGTCAAGTGGGATATATGATGTAAAATAATCCAAACATTTCGAAGTGTTGACTGTTCAGATATTTGTTTATAACTTTTCTTTTATGATAAACAGATTGTAGGATTCAGTATTTTGGTTTGATAAAAATTTATAATTTTAATTTCAGGAAGATCAAATGTATAACATGTTGAAGCCCAAGACAGTTCCAGTTCCTGTAGAGAAACCACCTGAACAGCTCTCCCCAGCTAAATCAAAACCTGTGAAGAAAATCAAGTCATTACTGAAGTCACCTGATCAAACATTATCCAATCAGGCAGCAGCAAATGTGTCACATGATCTAGTGATGTCACCAGTGGGTTCTGGGAGTTCACAACAAGATATGTACAATGCTGGCATAGGAACTCCTAGACGACCAACCAATGCTTTCTTAATGTTTTGTGACCAGTATAGACAGTCTGTGAAGAATGAATATCTAAGGGTAGGGCTTCTTGTATTTTGAATTATAGATAGACTGCATGGGTGGCAAAATCAGTTGATAAGTATTGCCCAGGTTGTGCCATAGTCTGTATGGACAAGTGGAAATTTTTAATAAGAATTTACTGTATAAATATCATACAGACAAGTTTTTCTCTTTTTTGACATCACAATTTGAAAGATTTCTCTTAAATTTCTATGTATTGGCTGAATTTAGAAGAAAATATAACTGCAAGACGCCAGTGAAAATACGAAAAAAATAAATATGTTTCATCATAGTGAAAAATAAATTTTTACAGTTAAAATACAGAAAATGAAAATACACATTATTTCATCAGTATTTCTCAATATTTCATGTATAAGTATATATAATAATTTGTTTTTATTTACCAGGAGAAGAATGCAATAATTCCACAGCAAGAATTAACCAAACGTTTAGCTCTTAAATGGAGTTCCCTATCTCACGAGGATAAAAAGGTAATTACTCTTTGTCTTTGCTTATTATGATAATTATCTAATAGATTTGCCTAGATTTGAGTTTGGAACAGTCCATTCAAAGAGATTTTAATGTTAAAATACAGAAATAGAACCCCTATGTGGCTGAGGGGTTGAGGCATCAGGATTGCAGCCATTATTTATCCCTGTGTGGCAATTAATGGGTTCGATTTACAGCAGGTGAGGCAGTTTTGACTCCTGGTGTTGCTTAAAGTTTGTAACTTTATTAGTAGTTATCAATTGAAGAATTCCTATTATTGTAGCTATCTATTTATGTTCACAGTTGTAGATCTATCAGTATTTATATTGTTGATCTATCAGGGCATTTATTTATGTTGTAGCTCTATCGGGGCATTTTATTATGTTGTAGATCATCATCCATCAGGGCATTTATTTGTTGTAGATCTATTGGGGCATTTATTTATGTTGTTGATCTATCAGGGCATTTATTTATGTTGTAGCTCTATCAGGGCATTTTATTATGTTGTAGATCATCATCCATCAGGGCATTTATTTGTTGTAGATCTATTGGGGCATTTATTTATGTTGTAGGTCTATCAGGATATTTATTTATGTTGTAGATCTATCAGGGCATTTTATTATGTTGTAGATCATCATCTATCAGGGCATTTATTTATGTTGTATATGTATCAGGGCATTTATTTATGTTGTAGATCTATCAGGGCATTTATTTATGTTTGTAGATCTATCAGGGTATTTTTTTATGTTGTAGATCTATCAGGATACTTATTTATGTTGTAGATCTATCAGGGCATTTATTTATGTTGTAGATCTATCAGGGCATTTATTTATGTTGTAGATCTATCATGGCATTTATTTATGTTGTAGATCTATCATGGCATTTATTTATGTTGCAGATCTATCAGGGCATTTATTTATGTTGCAGATCTATCAGGGCATTTATTTCTGCTGTAGATCTATCAGGGCATTTATTTATGTTATAGATCTATCAGGGCATTTATTTATGTTGCAGATCTATCAGGGCATTTATTTATGTTGTATATGTATCAGGGCATTTATTTATGTTGTAGATCTACCAGGACATTTATGTATGTTGTAGATCTATCAGGGCGTTTATTTATGTTGTAGATCTATTGGGCATTTATTTATGTTGTAGATCTATCAGGGCATTTATTTATGTTGTAGATTTATCAGGGCGTTTGTTTATGTTATAGATCTATCAGGACATGTTTGAGATACAGAAACGTCAACAAGATGAGGAGCTGAGTCGGTCATTGCTTGCCCAGAATGCCGTAAACTCCATGTACCTAGAGTCTGACGCGGCAGTTTCCTCATTGCTGGCGGGACAGGATCTTACCTGAACAGTTTAACTTACTACATAATGTGAATATGGGAATTTAAATATGATATGTCCATCTTAAGCAAAGCTTTCATAAACCTATGACTTGATATAGAATGCTTGCAAATTTCCTTCAGTATTTGAGATAAAATGATGCGGTTGGTATTGTTTTAAGAAAACCCTGTTTAAACATAGAGTGTTTTTTTAGTACGGTGGACAACAAATAGAAAGCAAAAACGCAAGGTTGCAGATTCAGGACTCGAGTTTTTACATGAAATAAGTACATGTATTATATAATGTCCGAGTACTGAAAATAATGTGAGAAATAAGAAGTTAAATTAACATCGTGAATCATATTTGTGAATTTGTTGAAAAGACAGCTGTTTAAAACAAATGAGTGTGGTTATGCTTGTGTTGTTTGTGTTGCTGGTTTAGTGACCAGACAGTGATTTTATAGCTAAATGAAATCACTGTTTGGAGTTTGGATGCGAGGAATTAAAACATGAGGGCTTAGCCCGAGTGGTATTATGATTATTATCCGAACAACAGTAATTTTATTAAGCGTTAAAATCACCGATTTGGATATATCATTTCTTATTTCTTATTATCAACAAATAAATGCTGCCATACCTGATATCAAGCTAAATTGCTCCTTTTATTATCAGTGCATCATATTGGTTACGTCACATATCTAACAGTTATGTAACATGTCACGAATATAGAACGTCAACAGTGATTTTATTGCATATTCTAACACGACCCGCATTTTTCCCTATTGAACATAGAAGAACCGAAAGTGTGTGCTATTATGCAATAAAATCACTGTTTAACGATCTATATATATAGACATGTGACGTTATCATTATACACGTGACGTAACCACTAAAAATGTGACGTGCTGACAATTAGTACGGAAACAAATCAGGTGCAATTTAGCTTAATATCAGGTAGGGCAGCATTTAATTGTTGATGTCGTGTTAGAATCAAAATGATATATCCAAATCGGTGATTTTATTGCTTGATAAAATCACTGTTTGTCGTTCGGATGCGCATCATTTATTCATTATAATTATATCACTCAGGCTACGCCGTCATGATATAATTCCCCGCATCCGAACTCCAAACAGTGATGTTATTGAGCAATAAAATCACAGTTAGGGATATATTATTTCTTAAATACAATCATCACACACACGTTTGACCCTTCTCTGTTTAATAGGAAAAAAATGTGGGTCATGTTAGAATATATAATAAAGAACTGTTACTGTTATTGGATGACAATATAGAAGGTATCAATATAGTAATTATTACTTGTGTTATCTTATCATTCTCTTCAATTTCATATACCCGCTCCATGCTATATTTCTTAAATGGACTTGTCCAGCATTCTTTTTGGACACAACCATTCCAGCGAGCACACTTGTGCAGTTTGACTAGGCTCTTCACTGTTGGCTGACCACCTTGTTGTTCTTGTCATCCCCCAAAATTTATAATAAACTGTTCCAAAACTAGAAGTTGGACAAGTCCATTTAAGACATTCAGCAAATTTAGAATTGTCACCCATGGAGAACCTTTTGAAAAGCATGGTCATGCTAGTAGTATTTTATATATTGTCACCTTTGTGCAATAACTGCTGTTAAATTTAGAAGGACTTATTATTTTATTGCACTAAGGTGATGATATTTAACAGCCAAATATGACCAATATTTCTGAATAACTGTTTTATAAATACCATAAATACCCACGGTCTTCCTGGAATATTGCTACTGAAGTATAATCTATTTAGTTGGGTAACTTTGGTTAAAAGTCGGACCAACACTCATGTAGTGAGTTCCCAGCTTAATGGTTGAAGAGGATCTCTGAAACACCACCGACTTAGCTCAATAGAGAGAGCATATGGCGCAGAGTGAGAAAAATTTGCAGCCTGATGGGAACTCGAACCTGGGACCCTTGCAGCTCTACCGACTGAGCTATCTGGCCACTTACACACTATTTCCCCTAAATAGTGAACACAGTTCTGAACCGTGACATATAGGATTTGTAATCCAGAGAATGCTGGTCCCATCCTTTGGCGATGAGAAATTTCACCCCAACAGTTGATGTTTGACATAAGAGTCTCATGGTCATTTGGATCTCATCACTGATTCAGAGGTTGTGGGATTAGTAGTCTGTCACTTGCGGAGACATTGGTCATTTCAGTCTAGTAAATTATACAAAAATGTCAGTAAGGATGACTGATTGCCAAAATATGTCAAAAACTTTGGTTAAAATTAACCTTAAACCAATTAGACAAGAATCTATATGCATTATTTTATGCGCAAGTGAGCACCAGAGTAAACCATGAAACTTGGGTACCATAATGATATCTGTCCTGTGTTGCTGTACTGAACCATAAACATACATGTCACAACTTTTTCTTAGATACAGATTTGCCAGTCAAAAGGTGAAAATGACTTTGAGGACCATACTCAGTTTTTCATGGAATGGCATAAATGTGTTCCATGTTTACTGCCATGGATGTTTCTAAATGAAAAACAATCAACATTTTCGTGTTTAAATGGTAAATTCTGCTTAACCCTGTGCTAGGGGGCGTGTTACTTGCACTTTGTAGTGCCATCAATAAACAGGCTCAATCAAACTGAGCCTGCAACATTTTCAGTTTGCCGTTTTGGGTGTTGTTTAGGGATTCTGTTGATTGCTATTTGATAGTTATTATTTAAAGAATAAGGAATAAGAAACATATTAAGTTCTTTCAAATATCAGTTTAATATAAAATATTACATGTATATTTATATGTTCTTGTAATACTTCTTTCCTCTTTATTTCATCTTTTAACACTTCTTCATTACATATATATATATAATTATCCTAACAGACATGAAAATGTGTACATATACATTGATGCATCGTCAGATACCCACGGCTAAACCATTAACACACATGTTATGTTACATGATAATCAACTGAGGGTATCCGACGATGACATTGATGCAGATAAGAAATTCAATTTTCAAAAGCGGAGCCTTAAACAGTGCTTGCTTTTTTTTCCTTCTTTGTTGTTTTCTACTCATCATTTTTCAAGTTTTTATAATGCTGGTCAGACTCGGAGGGGGAAAATATTGTCACAGACTGAGAGACAAGCTTGTTTTGTAGGGTTAACTTATGATTTCACAATATGTACAATTAAAGACACTAAAATAACCATATTATCACAGATATACACATTGACGCACAAAAGAGTCATTTCAATCTTTCATTGTCAATTCACAAATAATGTCCGGTCAACATTAACAGAAACACTTGATGTTTATAAATGCGCATGCTAAAATAATTCCATTTTACACTAGTACAAGACTACCCTTGTCTAGAAAAGTATTGGGCAGAGAAGAGATTTTCCTAAAACAGATAAAATACCGGACCATTTTTATATATAAGAAAACATTGCGGTCCTGTCAATATCTTCTCTATTACGAATAGTTTAAAGTGTAGCAAGTACTAAAATGTTCTGATGATTAAAAAAAAACCTCATTCAATGCAAACAGTTACACAACATGCACTGGAAGAATTCATTCTTTAGCTTAAAAATCAAAACAAACCCACGCTGTCTTGACTCAATAAACAAAAAAAAAAGTTTTACCAACTTTGTTCTTCATTATTTATTTGAAACTTTTAAAAGTTAAAACTGAAAGTATTCTTTTTGAAAATGTTCGAAATTTGCACATCCATAGTTCGAAATAAATTTTTTTAGTTTGCAATGTAGATAACGTGATGTTTCTGTATTGATTCAATGTCCCTTTCAAGTTGTTTCATTTCAGCTTCCATTCTCTCTTTCCTGTTCTTTTTTGGTGCCGTATCCGTGACAACAGACAAACCTTGATATTGATCGTGAATTTCCTCCCAGTTCTGTTTAAGACCTCTCAAGATACTGTCTCGTTCGTCCGCTGTCAGCTGTTGCATGGCGCCCCGTCGGAAATGTTCCGCCACGTAAGCATTGTATTCCTCTTGAGCGCGTTTCATTTCTTCCTGACGACGGGTGAGATACTGCGGAGTGGATCCGTATTCCTGATGAAAATGAGATATATCATTGTGAATTCAAGGATTTATAGAGGGTATTCAAGTTTTTACTATAAATACAGTATCTATTTTCAATGAGTAATATGAAAATAAATATTTCACAGGGGTTTTTTTTACTAACAAATTGACACCGATAGTCGGCGTCTTCCCCTCGGTAAAAAGCCAAGTTTTTTCCCCCAAAAAATTCTATTTTCCTTTAAACTGGATCAAATTTAATAATTACATGGTTTAAAATATTATTTTTCTTCATTTTATGCAGGATAAACCACCAATTGTTGTTCAAAATAACCAAAAACATTGCAGGAAACTGCAAGTACTGTCTCAACATGGAGGCAGCCATTTTTTTTCTTGGCTATATCCCGTACTGAACGGTACTATTTCTGGAAATCAGTTGCTATCAAAATATTGTCATTTTCTTGGTTATTTTTAGTAAAGTAATATATTTTGTACTTCTTATTATGAAAATGACTTATATGGAGCTAAAGTGTGTCACAGATACACTATTATACCTATACTGTATTAACTTTCATACAAAAATTAGAAGTATAAAAACCATTCACCACCATACATTTTAAGAAAATATGTTATACTGCAAAGAATATTTTGCATGATGATAAAGTTTTTAAGGGGAAAAAGATAAAGTTGTAACTCTCTACTATGTAGTTAAGTATATAGTATAAATAACATCATAATAAAGTTTCCCCAAATTGACTTTTTTCGTATATTTTTTCCCCTCCCTACCAGCGTCCAGCGTCTTCCCCTTTTCCTAAAAAAAACCCCTGTTTCATGAGTGGTGGTAAGCCAAGAGTGAAATATGATAACATATTTCTTTCATCAAGGTATTTTGGAAGTATTGTTTCTAAAAAATTTGAACAGTAATTTTGTAAACTACATTCAGCAGATACATGTATATAGCTTTAAGTTTATACACGTTCACTACATTTTGGCAAAAAACAATAGCCATATAAATTTTGTTTGGAAAATACGTGAAATTTGTGGTTGATATATGAGTAAAAGTATTAAAGGATTAAAATTTCAAAGTAAAATAGAAACTTATTTGTTTAATACTAAAACACACAATTTTGTAAAAACCTTTTTTTATCATGCTCAGACCTGTTAAGAGTTGAAAACATGACACCATCTGTTTAGAGGTGTTTTTAAAATAAATTCTATGATAGGGAACCAAAGGTTCATTTTACCTTTTTGTGAATAAATTTTGGTTCCAGTCCTGATGGGTCTAGAAGATTTTTGTCACCTTTCTTCGTATCCACATAAATCTTTTCTGGTTTCTTTGGTACTGATGTGATATTTTGAACTGCATTTGTTGTAATGAAATTTTTTGTTGTCTTCAACCCCATAAGTGGCTTATCATCCTTTTGAGGAACATGTGGACGCCTTCTGCTTTCATCAGGATATTTGAATTCAGTTTCTATAAAAAAAGAAGAGGAAATTATAGTTTAAAAGTTGACTAAAACTTCTGTGAAATTTCAAGATGATTTAGTGAAAAATTTGTATACGGGCATTCCTCCCATCATTTGATTAATTTGTTGAATAAAACAAAATCTATCAAAAGTAAAAAAAAACAAGACCCATTGCCAAGTGGTCCTGGATTTTCCTTATATGTATATAGTAAATATTTAAAAAAATTACTATAGAACCATGAAGGCTTAAGCTTAAGAAATTTGGCATGAATACTGAAACATTGTCCAATGGACCTTATAATTATACTGTAAAAATAGAGAAGAAAACATAAAAAAGCCTTTTTAAAGGCACATTTAAGTATTGATCTCAGTCAATGTTATAGTTCAACTTACTATCTGGTAATTGAGGTTCTTTTGAATGCTTCTTAAGAAAGTTATCTGTTGTGGGTACAGGGACTTTAGCCTGACCCATTGTTTTGTGGTCTCCCTTGTATGTGAAATAGTTTTCTTTCACAGGCTCTCTGAACTTTGAAATATACCTGCAAAATAAAGTAAAAATATTATTCATATTTCATTATTATTTCTCATGTTAAATTGTCATTGAAATTGCCATTTTAATATATTTTCAAAGGAGTTCTAAATATCTAATAGTGAATGGCATGCTGCAGTTACTAACTTACTTTTTAAAAAGGAACATAAATAACTGTATAAGGAACATGTATGGGCTAGAATTTGGCATGCCATGTATGCATGTCACTGACTTAATTCTATCATTATTATCTTCTTCCTTTAATTAAAACCTATAACAGTGGTATACCCTAAAATGACAATGATTTGAGAACCTATGCAGCATTTTTTAGTTTTACTCAATTTAGTTCAAACTTCTTTGGTGTCTAAATTCTAAATTCAAAGCTAGATTCTGAGATATTTTTGTTCTGGCAAAGAATCTTGCTTCTAGCCCATACACAAAACTATTAAATATCTCAACATGCCGTATACCTGGAACATACGATATTCTATTTTTTTTTTCTACATCATACTGCTTTAAAATCGTTTTCGATCACTCTAAGCAGGTATACATTGTATACATTTAAGAAACAGCTTTAAGATACAAGGGAATCCGGGAACCAGTCCCTAGCTCTTATTGAATAGACCCCTTGGTTCTTTTACATGCCCAGTGTATAGCACTGATACATGCGAGGATTACCTGGATTTCTTACCAGTACACCTCTAGGTAGGTGGGAAACACTGAAAGTGTCTCTGAAAGATCCCAAGGGTGTAACCCAGGATCGAACCCGGGACCTCAGGAGTGATAGTCAGTGGTTTAGCCAACTGAACTATCGCGCCACCTATAGTACATCCCAGCGTATACTCTACATTTAGTTTGACTAAGAATTCACCCATGATTCCACAGAATAAAATAAATCATATAGATCTAAATGATTATGAATTTATATGAAGTTTTATATGATTATAGCATTCATATAAATAGATAAAATGAAGACGTAAAAGCAAATGAGAATCCTATTAAATTGGAGCCACATTGAGGCAAGACGCGTAATTTCTTCATTTATCATCGAATAATAACAGAAGAAAAGACTGTGTTGTATAGGTGAGTGTGAGTGAACAATAAGTATCATTAAAAATAGAAATCTAAGACAGTATTGATACAAGAGAATGAGTTATAAGAATAATTTTGTGTTAAATTCGTTTACAGAAACCGATGCTGGACATAACAACAACAAAAATATGAAGTTTTCATATAAATATAATTTACCTTGGTTGCTTAGGCTGTCTAACCTCTTGTTGAGGTATTAAATCATAAATACTGCCAGTCGCAGCCATGTTTATTCCTTGAGATTTCCTGCAGAAATTGAAGAAAATCACCTAATTTATTATTAGTGTTAAAAATGTAAACTTGACAACTGTAACCAGGAAATACGTCACGCGGTTACGATGTCAATATTACTCCGTCTGTTTCATCCTAGGTAAGTTCGTACTAATTTTATTCGACCCACACTTCAGAAACCGAGAATAAAATTATTTTATATAGAAAATATGAGTATTTTATTTAAGAGTATTGTGCCGATATATGGAATAACCGGATTATATCCAAACACAGAAAAAAATCTTACTAAAGTACTAAACGTAAAAATAGTGAGACATTCGTCTAATTAAAGATGGTATAAACAATTAAGAAAAATAAAATTAGACACATTTTGTCGAGTAAATTTCGGCTGTTTTTTTCTTTCTAATAGGCTCTCTCAAAATAATAATAATAATAATAATAATAAATACAACCGAAAATATTATCTACTGATTCCGCTGAAGTTTATTCATTACGGACAAAGTATTTAATTATAATGAATACATACGCCCGGATATGTCATTTTTTTAATTATTACTTAAAATTAAGTTGTACTTTGACCATTTCTGGGTGTTTTTGACATTCGACATGACACATGACTTTTTTAAAAATTTCTTACTAGATAAAGTAATAAAAACTCTTTTAATATCAGGCTAGAGTAGGAACCCAAATCATCGTAGTGGTTGTTTCCCTTTTATCACTAGAGTTACGGGAGGTCACTGCGTGGCTCAATATCCTGGCAGAGTGTTTTTTTCTCGAAAAATTAAGTGGACATGAAATTATAGAGCTACTCATGAAACAAAAATATCAAAATATGTAATAAAATATGACAAAAAATGATAAAAAGATAGATAAACAACAACAACAACGAGTGAATCATTGAATAAGAAGGAGGAAGGAGAAAAGAACGGACGGACGAACAAACGAACTGAGTGAGTGAGTGAGTGAGTGAATGAGTGATATGCTTTTGGAGACAATTAGAAAAACAGTTATACCATTCAAAGCATTTTGATTATTACAAAAGAATGCACAGCTGTGAAAAACAAATGTATAATCAAGACTAGTAGCAACGTGCCAACAATTAAGGTCCGTCTGTTGAACACATGTTTTTTAATATAAACTCATGAATATTTTTACAATGATTTTATAGATAATCGCCGCACAGTCGATATATATATCTCGGAAACACTCTTGAATGCATTATTATATAATATATTTCTCTCGGTAATCAGTTATGTAGTCAGTTCTCGTGTGTAATTGATGATTTGTAGCATATATTTTTAACAGTACTAAATATTACAAGCGCGTATGCACGGTATAAATGAAATTTGAATATTCCCCAAAAGAAAGCAACAAGAAACAACAACAAAAATCAACATCAGCACACACACGCACGAGCGCGCACACACACCCATACAAAAGAAAAACAACAACAAAAACACCATGCACAAATTCATTAATATTACAAATGAAGTATATATTTTGCAAAGAATTGACTCGTAGTTTAGATATTTCATTTAAACTTTTCGATTCATTTGCGGACAATGTTTGCGTTTCTCGTGATCATATCAAGAATTGTAAAAAAAATGACAACTGCATCAATGGCTGATTTAAAAGTGGAATTGTTTGACACGCTCACAAGATTCTTCTAAATGAACAGATCATTTTTTGCTGCGTTTAATGTTATTTGTGGCTGGGTAATTCATCAAGGGCGGTTATTGCCTGTCACGTTGTAACTCGATCTGACAGATAATTTGCTTCAATGTAATATTACAACTAGCAAAACAAACAACAGTTCACGACCGATGCTGAAGTACACAAGTGCTGTGTCTAAAAATCACGCACGTGCACATGCATATATGCATGTACATTGCACAGGAACACACGTGCACGCTCAGTATAAGTAAAAAAATACGGACATTATTCGTTACAAAAAAAAATAAAAATGAATAATAATAAAAAAATAAATAAATAAAAGGGACACAACCCATGGACATCTAACAAGAAAAAAGCGCATTTGAGTTTTCTCCCTTATACACGCACTCGCGCTGTTAAAATGTCTAATACGTACAATTAGCGGTCCATGTATTTTCCTCTAAAACTTTTTTAAATAGTTCATTATTTTACATGGGATAAAGTACAGAGCCCGCTCATACTTATGAGTAACCCATACATGTTTTAAAGAAAAAAATCAGTATTTTTATTCGTAAAGTGGAATTGTATATTTGAATAGTCAGAAAAACACGTGGTTTAACGAAAGATCATTCAGATCATTCTCTCCCGTCAATTTTTCAAGAAAAATAATTTTAATTATGAAAATAAACCCGACATGAAAAATATGAAAAAATACCCATCATGAAAAGCAGGTTAAGAATCGCACAGAAATACGAATTTCTATTTGATTATGGATCTTGATTGTCTCGTCGTCAAATGCCCCAAATACCCCGGTTGATGTATGTGACAAGTTTCAAATTTTATGTTTTTAGACTTTTGGACGTCAGTTGAGTTCCTTTAAACAAATTTTACTAATTACATCTTCTTTAAACATACAAGGGCTTTATCTTAGATATTTCGCTTGAAACATTGTCTGCCTAGACTAATTTTTTATATAATTTTAAAATTTATATCAAATGGCAGTAGTATGTTATTCCTTTTTTGCGTATTATAAGACCGTGTAGAAAACATAACCATAGTACTCACATACAGGTTTGACTGTATGCTATAGTCATGAATTGAAGGCAATATCGAGTGTTTACTGTATCTGTCCATAACAAACAAGAAGGCAAAGAAAGAAAGAAAGAAAGAAAAAAATGAAGGGAGAAAGGAAGAAACCAAACGAAACAAACAAACTGAAAAGATAATAAAACAACAAGAAACCAACAAACAAACTAATACAAAACACCAGCTGCGGTAAAAAAGATTAACATAGTAAAATAAAATTGAAAACACTGTTTTAGTGTTGGATAAACCGTAATAAAACTCAAATTAGTAAACAAAAATGGGAACTCAACATGATATAATTAAAACTGCTTGTATAGCAGGCTACTATCGGCGCCTCCCTAGCACCGACTTAAATATGATAGAACATGGTTTATTTAAGAATGCAGAATCATCAAGTCGCTTATGTCAACAGTTTCTCAGAGGAAATTATTCTTTATCTTCAGATAACACATAATAAATTGAGAAAAGCCAGATAGTATTAAACCAAATGTCCAATTTGAGAAGTGATTACTACAAAATGTGACTTTAATTCAGGGTTGTGGAAACCAAAATGCACGTTATTGGTAATGTGTCTTGATTTATGATATCAATTTGGAAAGGGAATGATCTTTTGATAATTCATGTTATTTCGAGGGAAGCGACATCAGTCTCAGCAAGTATTAAAGTGATTCGACCTATGTAACTGTTATATATTTAAATTGCCATGATACATTCATATATAATCAATTCTTTGCAGTTATTTCCCAATTCTAGATTAGGTTTGTAAGGCAAGTCAGTAATTAAATAGATACAAATAGAAGAAATGTATAATAATGTTTCATCGATGATTCAATAAAATACAAGAAAAAATTGAATATATAAAACATGGAATTTCCTAACCATCACTAACTTATCCAATAACTGGGACAAGGACAACAGCAGCAGGAGAGTAGTAGTAGTAGTAGTGGTAGTGGTGGTGGTGGTGGTGGTCGTCGTCGTCGTATTGGTGGGTGGTGGTCGTGGTGGGTGGTTGTCGTGGTCGTGGTGGTGGTCGTGCTGGCTGGTGGTGGTCGTCGTGGTGGTGGTGGTGGGTGGTGGTGGTAGTGGTAGTGGTTGTGGTAGTAGTAGTAGTTTAGTAGTAGTAGTAGTGGTAGTGGTAGAGGTAGTGGAAGTGGTAGTAGTAGTGTGCTGGTGGTGGTGGTCGTCGTCGTGGTGGTGGTGGTCATGGTGGATGGTGGTCGTGGTCGGTGGTGGTGGTGTTGGTGGTGGTGTAGGTCGTGGTCGGTGGTGGTGGTGGTCGGTGGTGGTGGTCGTGTGGTGGTGGTCGGTGGTGGTGGTGGCGGTGATGGTGGTCGTCGAGGTGGTGGTCGTGGTGGTGGTCGTGGTCGTCGGTGGTGATGGTCGTGGTGGTGGTGGTCGGTGGTGGTGGTCGTGGTGGTCGTGGTGGTGGTAGTCGTGGTGGTGGTGGTCGGTGGTTGTGGTCGTCGTCGTCGAGGTGGTGGTGGTGGTATACTGTGCTCCTCTTAGTTCACGGTACTTAACACTTTAAAACAGTAAAGAAGACAAACAATAAACTTACACTATAAAAACGTTCATAAACTGTATCATTTAGACATTTTTCTGCTATATGACACAAGGAAACAACAATATATTCAATCAAAATAAGTTTTAATTTGTCAGATGTAGACCGTGTGTCGGCCATTTTGAAAATAGTATGTCATCATTTAACTCGCGGTAATGGTGTTTTATTTCAGTTTTTTCATGTTTCAGTTAAAATTTCTTTTGCATACTTTTAAATATTAAAAGTATCTTTACATTGTAACTCAAAATTTTTCTTTCAACAAACAAGAACATTTAGAAAATGATGATTGTTTCAGACGTAAGCACAAATTTAATGGACTATTGTTGTTTTTTGCAGAAGTTTGTAAAATGTTGTTCAGTTTTACGTAAAAATCTATAGATTTAAATTATTTTGCACAAAAGCTTTGTTGTTCAGGTGTTTGAATAAAATATGTCAATTCTGACCAATTTTAACACTGGTCACATGAAAATATGCCATTACCGTGAAATAAAATATGACGCGGAATTAGTGATGTTGAGTATAGTGGTGGTGTTGGTCGGTGGTGGTGGTGGTCGTCGTCGTGGTGGTGGTCGTGGTCGCGGTCGTAGTAGTAGGAGCAGGAGCAGAAGCAGCAGCAACAACAACAACAACAACAAACCAAACCAAAATAAAAGATCAAACTGTCATAGCATTTATAGCAAAGTGGTTTACAATTTAAGGCGACTTTACAATACACGAATAACGAAAAGATAAATTCATTTTTTACTTGTATTATTATGGTTTGCACATTTCGAGGAAATAGCTTTTAATTCTTTAAAT